GGACAGAAATCAAAGCTGAAACATCAAACTATAAAAAGGGGTGGGGGGCAGAAACTTGACTTCTCTTTCTATTGTTCTTCTTTCTCCATTCATGGTTGAAATGTTAGGCTCATGAACACCCTTCCACGCCATGCAAATCACCTTCCAAAGAGAGCTAGAGAACCGGTTCAGAACCCTCTTCTTTGGCTAGGATCATCAACCAAAGGTCTACCTTATTCAGCCAAGGTTTCCCCTTCTATCGAACCTGAACCCAACGAGAAACCAACCCAACCCAGCTCCTATTTCAAGCCTGAGTAATATATAGGAATCTCACAACAATAGGTTTTAGGATCAACACCATGGAACACCAAAGGAAAAAGCATAACATAGAGAAGAGACCGAGAGAGTGAAAAGACAGAGAGACAGTCTTTTTCCAAGAGTCTCGAAGAAGCTAAGCCCACGTGATAAAAGGTTTAAACTAAGAAAATATCCCACCGAGTTTTAATCTCAATCATCCATATGATCCAAGGGTCAAAATAAAAACAAAGTAGCACAAACCGGGTCAACCCAATGGACCAGGAGAACCACAAATGCCCATATATATATATATGGGGTTAAGTGCACAAATTTGCAGAATGAAGCCAGATAGTGTATGGGGTTTTTGATGAGCAAGTGATGGAGGCACGGATGTCTAATTTTCTTGATGGTGGCATCACAAGGTAGAATTCAGCGATGCAAGTCAATTGGTATTGATAGATGGGTTGTTACAGGCACGTATTCGACAGCATTGTGATCTTGATGTCCAGCTGATTTCAGAACTCAAATTTAGTGGCAAAATTAGTCACAAGGAAGGCACATGACGGCGATTGGAAGTGGTTATTGCTGTGTGATTGATATTGAGGCAGTTTTGGCCTTAGGTGAGCTTGAAATAATGAGAAACTGACCCAGCAGTTGGGGGTGTCAACTGCAATTCGAATTTTGGTCTATCTATTCTAAGTGTTGATCATTTAGAAGAGGGGGCTAAGAGGAAGAAAGGGAGAGGTAATGAGGCTGCACCTGGCCCTTCACAAAGTTTTGTAACGTGTTTCTTTGTTTAGACGAGAAATACATTTGGGTTGGTGCCCATAAATTTTGTATGTTGGTTTAGTACTTCAAATCATGTGAACAATAGTTAAATTCTGCTACCTACTATTTAATTATCTTATGTCAAACCTTGTTTACTATATGCGTTCGTCATGTTGTTTGTAGGATACAAATACATACATCATTAGCAAGAATAATTCAATAGATGAGAATAAACACGAAGTTGCTGTACACTTCGGAGAAAATTGGAACCCAAGCCTAATAACTTCGTGTTATCTTCTTAATGATAATTCATTCATCTAGTGTCCAAGGTAGCCATGTCAATATGGCTCGCTGGCTCAAGCGGCTCGAGCTCGACCTAGAAAAAGTTCGAGCTGGGCTGGCTCGTGGCTCAGTAGGATCGAGCCAAGTCCCATTTTAGGGGCGTTGGCTCAAGCCGGCCCGCCCGCCTCTGAAGCTAAAAAAAAGCTTACAGTTGTAATTTTTTTTATACGTTAATATTTAGTTATTATTTATAATACATATAAATTACACAATTTTTAAATTCTTTAAAAAAAATTTAGATTTGTGGCGATTTTTTTTAAAAAAAGGGGCTGGCTCAGCTATGCTCGCAAAAGCTCGAGCTGAAAGCTCGGGTTGAGCCTAAATTTTTTTGGCTGTGCGTTTACTCGGCTCGGGCCAAAAAAAGCTCAAACTATTTTTCCTCGAGCCGAGTCCAAGCAAAAAGTCTTGGCTCCACTCGTTGACTCCTCTAATCCAAGGTTTTTGAGCAATTAGTCACGGACTTAGAGAACTCCCCTACCCATGTGGCATGGCAAGATAGCTTATTGCGGGTTTATTGCTATATTTCTCGGAAGTGCACTGACGATATCCCTTTAACAAGTTTGGATGGCATGCTTTCTATTCCTATGTTGTGCTTATGTTGCATATCTAAGCTTGCCGGTTGCATGTGTGGGGTAGGCTGTCTTGGGGGTCCCTGGAACCTCAAGGGTCGAACGGGAGGTCCGTGACAAATTGCCTCTTAGAATGTATTTTCTTTCAAATGATTTAGTATAATTATCACAATGGAATCGGCAAACCAAACTTCTGATAGCAAACTGAATTTTTTGGAGTGAGACGATATAATTTTTGGAATGAAATAATTGTAAAACTTAAGGGAGAATATTTATGAGAATTATACCAAAATGGAAAACTAGGTAATGTTCAAGAGCAATGGCCTTTTACAGTTCGCCTTCGAATCGATAATGCGCGAAACGTTGATGAAAAGTCACAGACAGATAAAGGGTCCAAAGATTTAAAAAGAATTGACACAACCAGTGCCAGAGCCAGAGCCAGACACAGCCATACACATTTCAATTTTATAATCTGTTATCCCCCGTTTCGAGGTTACAGAAAATTAGCCACGTGGCATGCCACTTGTAAGGAGATCAGAAAGGAGCATAAGGGACGACCGAATAGGTCAGGAATCCCACGATGAAAGTAGGCCGAGGCCCTTTATCCAGGAACCAACGCCTTTTCGTAACCTCGGCCCGAGGCACCTCCTCAAGAACGATGCGAGGCGTAATCCGAGGTCTTATTAGTGTACATTGAGGGTCGTGGACTCGGCGTTGCCTCAGGAAGATTCGAAGATCTTTTTTGGGATTGATTGATGGGATGCCTGGGATAAAGTGAGTCGTCGCATTTAGTGTCAGCCTGTCACTAGAGTGGCTGACCTTTAGTCAAACATTAAATGCAATGATTAGACGACGACGTGAAGCCTCAGCTTAGGAGATGCCTCCACGTGGACCTGATCCAACGGTCGCCGCGTCTGCCGGAGTTGTATAAATAGTTTGTCTCTGTGTTCATGAAAGGGATGGAATTTTTCGGACAAAGAAAAAAAAGGAGAGAGAAGAAGAAAAGCCTTAGAATTGTCAAAAATAAAAACACTTTGATTCATATCCTATCTATCCTTCCACATATTCCATTATAGAAGAAGAATTTGTTCAAAAAGTGTAAAGAAACCCGGAAATCATTGTTAGTGTGATTTCCTTCCTATATTACTACCGGAACCCAAACATTTTTGTCTCTTGCCAGAAAGTATCTCCCACGTTCATGAACAGTAGAGCCACCGATTGCATTCCGGTAGAAACGTGCCGGAACCGTACTTGACACGGCAAGAGTGGGCCCGATATCTGTTGAGCTCATTTTTTGGAGTCAACATAATCCATCTTCAAATTTCTAGAATGAAGACGGGTTCTTCATTTGATCTCTCATCACGTTACACTATTGCTATAAAAAAGATAGATAATGTCTAGAGCTCTACTGGAGAGAATTTATAGTACTTCTTGAGTATGAAACTCTATATTCCACTCACTAGTTAGTTGATATATATATTATTTATTCGTGTACAGATCTCAATTAAAGAGTGAGTACACATATCAATTAAATATTGAATTTATCTACTTGTGCATTATGGATGCCTTTATGGCATTCATAATGTACAAGTAGCACATCTCTTAAATATTAACAGAAGTGTTCAATATACTCCATATTGCAGAAATACTAAAAAATATTCCATCTCTGTAAGACGGAATGACTTAGCAAAATTATTATTTCATTTCTAGATTTATATTTCCTAACAATATTTAGACTTAATTTTTTTTTAAAGGACAATTAGATAGCAATCCATATAATGTATTAAAATTTAATTTCAGACTGAAATATATATTTATTAGAGATTAATACCATATAGACCGGCTTCCGTACCACGTAAGTGGCAATCCATACAATGCATTGGAATGCTCTTAATGTTTTGTCAAATATAAATACATTAGAATAGTAGAATACCATAAGATTTGAAATTATAGACCCGTATTTATTAAGTATTTTTCTTCTAGAACAATATTGAAATTATACCATAAGGAAAATCACAGAAATGAAGGAGGCATGTTGTTGTATAAATATATATTCAAGAGACGACCACTCTTATTTTAGTTCGCCCGCAGCCCTGTAAGTATTATGCGCTAGATCCAATAGACTTTAGAATTTAAATCCTTTAATTTGATTGATTATTTATGCCAGATCTATTATTTTAATTGAATAATTATTATGAATAATTAAATTAAAAGAGTCCATAGATTCAAATTTCGGAAAATTGTTAATCATAAGGAGATATAATTGTGAGATACAAGTTATATATGACTATATCTTAAATCATTAATGTTTGTAAGTAATAATGAACTTAATGCATTGAGACATAATAACGAAGGATTAATATAATATTGTGTAACTTTTTGTCTCTGAATTACAAAGGAAATAATTAAATAACCCTTCATACGACTATAGAAAGAAAGATCTCAATACTGCTGATTACAATCATGAAAAAAATCTATGTAAATTCAGAAAATATATCGATATCACAAGAATATGGAAATATATGTTTAACACATGTAATCCACTATGATAATACACAATCTTGATGTGACGATTTCTGAAATTTTCATGCAATCTTTCACATAAAATCAGATGTATTCTCTTGTTAATTTCTTAGTCACATAAAATATATTGCATGATTCTTTAAATTCACATGTAATATCATTGCTGATTCTTTATTAACTGAAAATTTCACTAACTATATAAGAAGCTCAAGCTACAGTTCATAGCCTTAACACCAACACAAACATGGCCAAAGTACCACCTGAACACATGGGAAAAGGTGAATTTTATTTCCTGAACATGATGGTAGAGGAGATCGAAAATGAATATACAGAGGGTTCCAGTTTTAGATCAGAGAGCTGGCTGCGAGTGATGAGGAAGTTATGCAAAATTTATGGCCCAATTTATACGGTTCGCTATCTCAAAGCAAGGTTGAGAAATCTTAAGAAACGGTACGAAAAATTCTCAGAACTAATAAACCACAAAGGAGTCTTTTGGAACGAAGAGCATAATGTCGTTTACGGCAATCAAGAAGTGTTGAAGCAATACAAATTGGTAACTCACAAAAAATATTTTTTTTTCTTCTTCCTTTCGTGTAGATATTTTTGTTATGTTACATATCTTACAAACCAAAAACTTGCACACTGTGTTTTTTTTTATCTTCTAGGAGTCTTATGGAAGGACCGGCTTTTACATTGCTGAGGAGCATTTCGACCTTATTCGCCAAATCTTCGAGAGTGGAGTTAAGTTCGAATAAAGCAAAACCCAACAAAGGTTCTAAAACCTTGTAGCTGGTCGTGAAATCTTGGTCTCCGCCTATCTTTATCGAGTATCACACAAACTGCATCTGCCGTGGGTGATAAATAAAGTGAATCCTTGTAACTTTTCTGATATTTCCATGCATACAAGCTGTATTTCTGCATTCGAATAGAAACAATAATATGTAACATTTAAGTGTTAAATGCAATTATTATCGATGTGTTTTCCTACAAGCGATTACACATAATTGGGTACAAATCACATCGCAGTCGAAGCTCTTTCTCAATTTTTTAAATTTGATCAGTTTGATTCAATAATATAGCTGGTCAAATTTTTTTAATGAGAAAAATGACATCGAAAATAATTTTAATCTATAAAATATATAATTATTTGTACAAAATATATATATATATTAAAAAACCTATATATAAGCGAGCGATAATTTTCAGATGGTTGAGATTGCGGGGTGTCAATTAAAATAAGATGAAAAAATATTTTTCATTTTGTTTATAATTTGGGTTTTTTCGCAAATTTCGTACGGTGTTATTTGTAAGGAAATGTAATTAATTTAGGGTTAATTTCAACCATGGTTCCTTACTTTTCACTTAATGTCATTATGGCTACCGAACTTTTTACCATGCCACCAAACCTTCTACTTAGTGTTACCACGATAGTTGAACGTTAATTTGTTTCTTATAAAGTTTGTATAAATAGCACTGAGGGTCCCAAACCTTTGAACCTTTAGACGATGAAATCTTGAATCTTTTATTTCTAGCACTCGAAGTCCCAAAGCTTTCAAATATCTACGTCTAAGGTCATTTTCTAACGAAACACGTCTCTTTTGTCTAATAAAAAAGGTTCAATTTTGAGTAAAATGACTATAGTACTTTTAGTTGGATTTAAAACAAAAGATAAGAAATAATTCAAATTAAAAACAAAAAATTAAAATTAAAGAATAAAGATGCAACCGCTTGGATTGTGTAGTCCGCACTTCGTGACGATTTAAGTTAACGAAATTATGTGGTTTTAACTTAAGAAAATGTAGGGGCCGTTCTCTTTAACTGTTTTGGGTCGTTTTCTGTTTTCAGTTTTTCAAAACAACAAAAACGCGTTCTCTTTCCTATTTTCGAAAATGCGTTTTTCAAAATGATCAAAAATTTGTACACAAAACACAAAATGATGAAAACATCGTTATCCACATTTTCAACAAAATTCAAGCAAAAACTCAAAACACGCGAAATGGGATGTTTTGGTACAGTAACGCCTATTCCCAATCGACGCCCACTCCGTTCTCTTTGACTGTTTTCAGTTTTTCAAAACAACAAAAACGGATTCTCTTTCCTATTTTCGAAAACTCGTTTTTAAAACGACCAAAAATTTGTACACAAAATGAAGAAAACATCGTTTTCCACGTTTTCAACCAATTTCAAGCAAAAACTCAAAACACGCGAAATGAGTCGTTTAGGTACAGTAACACCTATTCCCAATCGACGCCCTCTCTTCCGCCTTCATACAATCCACGCCTTCTCTTCCTCCTCTCGGACGCCGGTACCGGAGACGGCGTGGGCAGACGACTTCCATGAACGCAGGGTTGCGACCCATTCTTCGCGACACTGCTGTAGTTTGGCCCATCTCTGCCTCCTCTCTTTTCGACGTCGGCGACGAATTGGTAGGGCAAAGGTAGAGTTCTCTCTCTTTTCGATCTGCAATTTTGGGATTTTTTGGGTTTTCGATTTCGGTTGTGTTGATTGGTGACGACCCATTGATTTCGGTTGTGTTGATTGGAAACTGCAATGGTGGTTGTGATGGCAATGGTGGTGGTGACGGGCGGTGGGGGCTTTTTGTTGGAAATTGCAGTGGTGGTGGTGACGGGCGGTGGGGGCTTTTTGATTGTTTCAATGGTGGTGGCGATGGAAGTTCTCTCTTTTTGATCTGCTATGTGGGAGCTTTTTGGTTTTTTCAATGGTGGTGGCTGGTTGTTGTTTGCTGTGGTGGTGGCAATGGTGGTGACCGGCGGTGGTGACTGGTTGTTGTGTGCAGGGGTGGTTGATCTACTATGCAGGGCGATGGTGGTAGTCGTGGCTAGTTGTTGTTTGGTTTGTAGAGGCGATGGTGGTGACCAACAGTGGTGGCTAGTGGTGGTGGTTGTTTGCAGTGGTGGTGGCGATGGTTGTTACCAGCGGTGGTGGTGCTTGGTTGATTTCTCAAAATTCAAAAGGAAACGAGTTTTCTCAAGTTGTGTTTTCAGAAATAATTTTTCGGAATGACAAAAAGAACACGTTTTCAATAGTTTCAAAACAGACACTCAAAACACAAAACACAAAACGAATTCAAAACTCAAAATAGAAAATTGAAATGCAAAGAGAACGGCCCCTAGTTTTCGATTTTTATGTTTTCCTATGAAGTTTTATTGAAATAATTCCTATATTAAGTAACTCCCTTTCACCTTTTTATTGATAATATAAATTGAAATTTGATGAAACACAACTAGATAATTTTGTCACAAAACAGCAATAATTGAATTTTTTTTTGGAGAAAAGTTCAAATTACAAGAACACGATGTTTACGACACAAACTATTCATTCAAATATTACTCAGCTTTACCTTCAAAAACTAAAACATCACAAACAATACTATTAAATGCGTTCGTGTAATCTACTAAAGTAGCGGTACGAAATCTAGATGAGACGATAGCTAAAATATTGATTAGATATTTCAAATCACAATGCATAATCTATTAAATAATACTTATTTTTAATTTCAAAAATTCAAACATCACAACCATAATGTTAAACGTACTCTGTGTAATTCACTACATTAGTATATAATATTTATGCAACGATAGCCAAAATGAATGCAGGTAGCCGAAATTTCGATAAAATCTTTCAAACCACGGTGCATGATCTGTCAAATATTACTTGGTTTTACTTTTAAAAAATTCGAACATCGCGGAACAATCAGAGATTCTCATAATGATGTGATGAGTGTTGCCATATTAATAATAATAGTTTTCTCAATTATTACGGATAGAAAGACCTTGAGTTAATACCCTAAATAGTCACCGAACTTTGCCAAAAGTTCACAGGAGGTCACCGAATTTTAAAACTTCCCTAATTAGTCATTGAACTTTGCAAAAAGTTCCTAAGAGGTCACTGAACTTCAAAACTATCCTAAATAGTCATTGAACTTTGCTACAACTTCCTAAGAGGTCACCGAATTTTACAAATTTTGATCTCATACATCAATGATTTAGTGACCCTTTAAGAATTTTTTGCAAAATTGAGTGACTAATTAGGATAGTTTTGAAAAAGTTCAGTGACTATTTAGGGAGCTTCGAAGTTTAATGACCTCCTATGAACTTTTTGCGAAGTTCAGTGATTAATTAAGGAAGTTTTGAAATTCAGTGACCTCTTGGGAACATTTAGCAAAGTTTAGTGACTATTTAGGGTATTAACCCAAATACCTTTGATCCTAATTTTCTATAAATACTCATACTCGATCAAAGAAAATAAATGCAATATAAAACCTTAGCCAAAACTTTGTCTATTTATTTCTTTTTTCGACAAGTAACTTGACCGTTAAAGTGCAAACAGTTACTGAACACCCCTTGAAACAACGACATTTGCAAGTGTCCAAGTGTATAAGTAACACATAAGTGATGGGAGAGATGGTAAGGAATCCGTTAACAGTTGAATTGATCATATTTGAATGTTAATAAATATTAATTGTGCTTGTATGATCTATTATAGTTTACAAGTGACAATATATTGAATCTCAATGAAACGGTATGGTACGTAATCTTTCTACATAGCACCTTCCTCTTAAATTCAATTTAGGATAGTTATATTGTCACGCCACATTTCTTTTATTACACTAACTTCTCTAACACTTGTTCACAACGCTCTTACGTCTCCAATTTCTTTTCTTTTTTGTCACATTCTTATTCTCAAACTTCTATTAAATATGAATGCATCCTATCTCTCATGACGTTTTTCATCCAAAAGTATGTTATGATGTCATAAAAAGAATTTTATATGTCATTTATATTTTTAAATAAGGTGATTATATTATCAGCACAATTTTATTTGATACACCACATTCGATTGAAGTTAAGCTCCTCAATCTTTGCTTAACATGACAATTCTTTTCTCAACTTCTTTTTTTCGAATTCTTATCTTCAACTTTTCATTCATTAGTATGTATCGTCCTTGATGATGATTTATATAAAAATATTTTATTTTCGTGCTTTGAAATAGAGAAAAGTATTTTTTTCGCACTTTTTATTTATTTTTTAAAAATATATAATGAAAAAATATGTTGTTTTATGTCATTTCAACGGACTTTTGAACATAAAACTATTAACAGGTACAAAAATGTATTAACTAATGAGAAGTTTGATGATAAAATTTTTTAAAATTTGGGATTTCATCTTAAAAAGTCAACCTTGTTAAGAGAAATAGTACAATCATTTATAAGTTAGTTTATATTTTTATCTTTATTTAATGTAAGATTTTATCTCTTAACATGCCCCTTCAAGATGGTGGCTCGTTTGAACAGATCAATCTTGAAATCTGTGTGATCATTTTTTTTTAGTCTTAATCTGATAGAATTGTTCGTTGGAGTTTAATGGACTCTGATATCATATTAAGATTTGGGGTTCCATCTTAAAAAGTCAACCTTATTAAGAGAAGTAGCTCAAACTCTTATAAATTGCTCTATGTTTTCATTTTTATTCGATGTGAGATTTTATCCCTTACCATTTCCTTCAAGATGGTGGCTCGTTTGAACAAGCTAATCTTGAAATCCGTGTACTCAATTTTTTTGAGTCTTAATTGAATCGAAATACTCATTGGAGTTTGATGGACTCTAATACCACATTAAGATTTGAGATTCTATCTTAAAATATCAATCTTTTTAAGAGGAATAGTCCAATTCTTTATAAATTGGTTTATGTTTTCATTTTTATTCAATATTAGATTCCACCCCTTAACAAAAATGACATGAAAAATTGTTAAATACTATAATAAGCAAAGATTAAAAACTTTAATTACAATTAAAACGTGGTGCAAGAAATAAAAATTGTTGTGTGAATATAATTACCATTTTAAATAAGCAAAAGAAAAAATAAATGCAAATACATTAAATAATATTTGTCCCTCATTTCAATCACGCTAATGAAATATTTGGATGAAAGTCGTTAATACGAACCAAATGTTCTGATTAATGGAAAATTGATAAATAATATAATGAGTAAAGTAATAAACAAAGATTAAAAATTCTAATGCATTCGAAAAATATGGGGAGACTATATACAATTAGTAACATATGTTATTTATAATGAGAGGGGGAAAAAAATTAACGATAACAAACCGACCAATCAATTGAAACCCCAAGTGATAAGGGTTTTTTTTTTTTTTTTTTCCTTTGAGCGTAGTCCAACACATTTCTACCCTTTTCAAAAAATAAAAATGAAAATAAAAGCATAACTGGAAATGCTACAAGTGGCAAAGAGAGTTTGTCGAAGGAAATTCTTGTGAACCTCTCAAAAATCTCTTTTCTATTTTCTTCATCATTGTTAATTATTAAATATCCTGTAAAATAGACACGACTGTGGCCTGCATTACCATCTTCTTGCATTGTCTGTTCTTCGATTTAGGTAAACAGCAAGACTCTAGACTGCGTTCTTCTTGTGAGTCGTTTTTATGCTTTATTTGCTACTTTACACGCCGTAGCTGTTTGTTTATTACTACAAGTAATTTTATCTTTAACTAGTACAGTATTGATTTCCCTTTGCAGTGTTTTTACGAGGTTTAAGGTGTTTTTCGGTTTTGGGTTTCTGATGCGTTCTAATTTTTTTATATTTTCTGTGCTTTCTTTATTTTATGCGTGTTGCTGGTTCCCTAAATTTCTTTTATGAGCTGTTACCTTTGAATTTGACTTAAACTTTTTATTGTTTTGTAATTGGCTATATTTGTTTATTTACGGTGGTATGTATGTACTTTCTTCGATGGGTTATTCTGATTGTATCTGGTTCGTTTTGTTTATAATATCAGTTACAAGTAAGGTGGAACAGAAATCTAGGCTGCAATCTCGAAGACAGTCAACTGGGTTTGTGTATATAATTTGGGGGAATAAGCAGGTTAAACCGACTTGGATTTCAGTTTTTCCTGTAATGGCTTCGTGTACATCACCTTATTTTATACCTGCGGATAGTCGAAAGCTGATGGATGTAATGTCTGTCCTTGGAGGAAGGGTTCGCCCCTTAAAAATGGTTTACGAGAAGAATGGGCTTTTAAGTATTGGTCAAAAGAGTGGTTCCTGCTTCCCTCAGGTCATATGCTCAGCCAATTCTCACAGTGTCAATCAATTTCATGGTAAGGATCCATTTCTGAATCTACACCCCGAAATCTCAATGCTTAGAGGTGAGACGAGCACTACAATGACCAATCCAAAACAGGATATATCAAGTGAAAATGTGACGAAGAACCTGATTGATTCCCCAAGTTTGAACAATTACAACGAGGCTAAGATCAAGGTTATTGGTGTTGGAGGAGGTGGATCTAATGCAGTTAACCGTATGATAGAGAGTGCAATGAAGGGTGTTGAGTTCTGGATTGTTAACACAGATGTCCAAGCCATGAGAATGTCACCCGTTCTTCCTGAAAATCGCTTGCAAATAGGCCAAGAGCTGACCAGAGGACTTGGTGCTGGTGGTAAACCAGATATTGGCATGAATGCTGCAAAAGAAAGCAAAGAAGCTATAGAGAAAGCTGTTTCTGGATCAGACATGGTCTTTGTGACGGTAAGTTTCAGCATTTCTTTGGCCAAATAATTTCTTGCAGTGAAATGGTATGCTGTTCAAGTCCAGGACTTCTGTGTTCATTCTATTTCTCTTTTCTTAGGATTTCTAGCTTTAAACTATCTTAATTTGCACTGCATGTTTATCACGAGCTTTGAGATTCTTCCTTCGAATGTGGCAGTAACTGCTTTTGGTTCTTGTAATGCTGAGATCTAATAGCATTTCCTCCAAAACGTCAGTAACTGATTGAACTGGACCATTATAGTTTGCATTTTTCAGTAGAGATGTCAGATGCTTAGCTAGTAAATATGTTTCTCAAAGTCAGTGCTGAACGTGTAGAATGTGAAGTTATATACGTCATTTTTGTATTTTTCTATTTTTATACTGGATAGTGAACTTAGAACCTAAATCTTGGGTCACTCTTAATGACATTGTTTAATGGAATTACAGGTTTGCTAAAGAAACTCATGTCAACTAACTACCTATTTGGTTCATACATAAAAATGCTTATGCTTGTCACTTATCAAATATCTGACCGTAGCTGAAACATGATACAGAGTCTTGTGAATTGACACGATTATGTTCGTTTCTTGTAGTTGTAAACTTGACATTTGTTATAGAACTTAGTTTACGGTAGATCTCATACATGCAAACTGCTGTCTTAGAAAACGCTTATTTAATGTATGTTCGAGTTTTTCATCTTTAATTTATTTATGTGGCCTAGTTTTGCAACTTAGGGCCTGTGTGACAAGTTTTTGATAAAAATTTTAGCAGATTTTAATAAAAGATGATGAAATGTGTGATTGAGAAGTAGTGGATCCTATAAAATATGTTGTTAAAATGAAGTTTGACCAGTTGATAAAACTTTAGTTAGTTTTATTAAATAAGGTGTTAATATGTGTTTGTATATTAATCATTTTGCAGGTTTTCTCAAGAAGGTCGATAATACGGTTTTTGTTTAGGTTTGTTTTTTGAGAATTGATAAACATAATCTATGAGCTCCATATATGATCTCATAATAATTTATCATAGATATCAACTTTTGGAGTGCATTTGTCATTTTTAGATGAACCTTTTTTTATTTTAGGAAAAGCTAACCAACACACTTACGTTTTGGCTTGCTGCTCTGGATTATCTGACTCGATTCTTCTCTGAAGGCTAAGTCTATTACCCTTCCACCGACTCAACGGATGGAAAGAAGCGCCCAAAATAGATGGTTTCTTGGGCACGACCAGTCATAGCTAAAGTTTCATTATAGAGCGTATCCACATGGTAGAACGGCAATTTGGGGCTTCTCGGTGGGTGTGCAGGGTGTAGGTTTCAAGTAGTTCTATTGCAGTCTGAACTTTTGAGTCGTTATTGAAACTGCCAGCTTGAGTCTTAGTTATTGCAAACGGTAGACAATGACTACAGAATAGAATGGTTTGGAAAAGAATAACTTTCTCTCAAGCACGTGAAAACCAAAATAATCATGATTGAAAGGTGAAAAGAAAGTAGAACTTAATCTTATGTACCTTGTGGACATTACCTTAGCAAGAAAATAGTATTGATGTGGATGACTCACTCCTCCTCGTTTCATTTTCTTACCTTGGACTTTTATTTGATGTGCAGGCTGGAATGGGAGGGGGAACAGGAACTGGTGGAGCTCCTATAATTGCAGGGATTACGAAGTCAATGGGCATCTTAACTGTTGGCATAGTTACAACTCCATTTTCTTTTGAGGGAAGAAGAAGAACCGTTCAAGCCCAAGAAGGAATTGCTGCTCTAAGAGAGAATGTTGACACTCTAATTGTCATTCCAAATGATAAATTACTTACTGCAGTTTCCCCATCTACCCCGGTGACAGAGGCATTTAATCTTGCTGATGATATTCTTCGTCAAGGAGTTCGTGGTATTTCTGACATTATTACGGTATGGACGCTCACATAGACGCTTGAGAAAGTAAACTTTTATCGGTGGATAATTTTCTGGATACCATCTCTTATGTTAATTATGCTTGATCGGGGTCTGTGTTATCCTTTTTAATTTCTTTATTTTTTAAAGCAAAGTTTTGGTTTTATTTCAAGAAATGATTGTCTATTTGTCATCACCATGCTGCTTGTTGTATCCTTATGTTTCATTAGTGATTTTTCTTTAATTGATGAAATGCTCTAGAAAGGTCGCTAACTGACTAATCATTTAATACATTCTGTATCGGTATCTTTTCTGTGTATAATTAGCAATGGGATTCATTACTTTGATAATGAACTAATCTCTGTGCAAAACATAGAGGGGATACACATGATTTAATGTAACTGAATTTAATTTACGATGAGTAGTCATGATAACAAGGTCTTGAGGGTACTAGTAGCATCAAGGGTTTACCCTTGTCTTTATCCTTTTCTTTTGAGTAATTGTTGAACTTATGAGATATATCCAAATGAGGGCCTCAGTGTATGTTATTCACCGAATATGTGGTTTTAGTTGACGAGACAACAAGCATCTTCAGACTACATTTACCGTATAGGCAAATTTTCATTTCAGACATTGTTTGCCTAGCCTTGTAAGAAAGGAGAAACTTATGTATTTCGAAGTTTGACAGTAGATTTTAAAATTTTTATTATAATAATAATTCTAAAATATTAGATATTAAATTAATTGAAAATGCTTAAGTTTTATACCACCAACCCCTAATAATTGGGAATAATGTTTAGCTGCATGTTGCTTCTTGTTGTTTATCGCTGTTGTTATTCTTCTTAGTACATCAAAACTTTAATCTGTATAATGAGGTGGTTCATTTACCTGAATAATAATATGTTTGCGTTGCATAATGTCTGTCATCTACAACCATCTGAATTTGAGTGGACATGCTGGTGTCAAAATTGTTCTGTATAAGAATAGATCAGTTTCTATAATATAACCAAGTTATGGGATCATTCTTTTGTTTGTTAATAAATGTTGACAACTCTTATTATTTGCAGATTCCTGGTTTAGTGAATGTGGATTTTGCTGATGTGCGAGCTATTATGGCAAGTGCTGGCTCTTCATTAATGGGGATAGGAACTGCTACAGGTATGGTTTAGATGCCTTTAATCTTTTCCGTAATTTGATAATAGTAGTGTATAACAACTTCTTGAAGAATGAGACGGACAGATTTGGGGCTGAGACATATTGTGGCACCCAATGCTATTGTCAAAGATGTGCCTCCTTACTTGACTTAAGTATTCCAACTTCTTAATCAATTACAAAGAAGAACTTGGAACAATTGGATGAACTAACAATGACGACCAACCATTCTTACTTATGGTCCTTGGTTTCATTCTTTAAGACATTTTTTAGTCTATTTTCCATCTGCTTCCAATCAATGATGGAAGAGAGAACATCTTCTCTTGTTAGCTGCTCGTATTGGCTAATTTTATAGTGCCCATTTTGCCTCCTCTCTGCACACACTATTTAGCCTCTTTTCCATCTTGCTAGATATCTCCCCCTGCAGACACACACGCTCACCCTTTACATCACAATCTCTATTTATGATGGAGAAGAAAAAAGACAAACTTTACAATCAGGAACACTACGGATTTTTTCAAGTGAGTAAAGGGATAGGAAGAAATCAGTTTCCAAGTAGTGCATTTTATTTTGGCGTGTTCCCCTTCCATCTTCAGTATTACTTTTCTGCAATTGATAAAAGTAAATATAAATGCATATAGAAGGATAATGTTAAAGGAATCTGATTCATTTCATATCTTACTCATTGTGACTTGAGTGCTTGTACTTTAAGTTTTAGATTGAGTGGTATTTTCATCCTGCTATTCTGCAGGCAAGACCAGGGCTAGAGACGCAGCATTAAATGCCGTTCAATCTCCTTTATTAGATATTGGTATAGAGAGGGCCACTGGAATTGTGTGGAATATAACTGGCGGTACTGATTTAACACTGTTTGAGGTAGTTTCTCCTCTCTTTCTCTCTATAATACATAAAACTTGCAGCATTACAATTACCTCAGGGCTGGTAGATGATGGACAGAAAGTTCAACTAGTTTCCCATATCTGCATTGTGATGCCTGTTTTAACAAGGAGTCAACATACACCCTCAACCTTCCTTCTTATTTGTTGAAGCAGTTAAAAACATCTGTAGTTTGATTTATATATCTATTGTTCCAACTTCCCCCTTTCAATTGCCTGTATGAGTAGTAGATATTTGATGAATGGGATATATCCATGATTATATTTATGACTTCGTGTGCAATATGATGAAGGAAGATTTTATGTCATGTTCTGTACTAGTTATGAACTTAGGATACATGTGTGTGTGCCTCTGTGTTGATTTAGTTTATTAATTTTTGTTTTAAATAGATCATTCTCTTGCAAATTTGGTAAATTTCATGATATAAAATTTGTCATATTCTTCTTTTCATAGTTTTTCTTTCATGATAATGTGCGTTGATAGGTGAATGCTGCAGCAGAGGTCATATACGATCTTGTGGATCCAAGCGCCAACTTAATATTTGGTGCTGTGATAGATCCATCACTGAGTGGACAAGTGAGTACTATGTTTTATTCCTACCGTATATTATATATGTGCTTGGTCATTATTGATCATAAGAATCTAGTAGCATGGGGTTCAGCAACATATGCCACAACGTGTGGCAATAGAGATGCTTGAAACTGTTTTTCTCTCACATGGGCAGCGGCTAAAGGCTGCAATTGAAATGTGTACCCTTGTGTGTGTGGTGGGGGAGGGGGATGGGGTTATTTTCCAATGGCATTTTTTGGAGGTCAAATATTTGAAACTCGGGGCTTAAAATTTTTATACATGGAAATGAGTTGAACACTTCAAACATAATTCAGGACTTGTAATCTTATTCACACACTACTTTTTGGCTTAATGTGTAGTAAATCTTGTATTTTTTGGAGATATTTGATATCTTAGCATACGCCTCAGCTTTCTTCTCTCTGATCTTCAGCTTTAAGACAACTTGAATACTCAAATTTGTTGAAATTTGATTTTCTTTATTATAATCAGGTTAGTATAACTTTGATCGCCACTGGTTTCAAGCGCCAAGAGGAAAGCAATGAAAGGCCCATCCAGGTATCTCTGTCCCTCCCCAGCGCCCCAACCCTAGCCTTGTATGCATGCAGAGTCGATGCATGTTATTACTTTTCACTTAAATATTTACTTAATGCTCACTTTTTCGTGTTCAAACTCCAGGGAAATCAAATGGTACAAGGAGATTCGAACCTTGGTATCAATAGGCGAGCTGCATCCTTTTTAGAAGGTGGTTCTCTGGAGATTCCAGAGTTCTTAAAGAAGAAAGGACGCTCTCGCTATCCAAGAGCTTGAATAAGTTTTTCGACAGTTTTATAATCTCTCTTTACTGTAGTCTTCCTTTGTCTTGATCTCAAAGTTTTAGGTTGCTATGTCATGTGTCTATAGAATTTTGGCTTTTAATGAAATGCAATTTTAGCATCAGTAACGGGTCGAGGCAACCACTTTTCTTAATAAATCATAATCGAAGTGGATGTTGAATTAACTTTGAATTTGTATTTGTCTATTTGATAGTTTGTATAATGAATTGAGCTAAAATAGTTTAGACTTGTAAATCTTTAGAATATTGGGTGTCAATTCTCTTCATATGCTGCTAACCTCAAAGACGTGACATGACTTGATAAAAATAGGACTTGGAAAAGATGGACCCTTAATTTTTTCTAATATAAAGTTGAGAAGCCGCAAGGGCTCCTCCTTGCCTTGAATAATCAGCCCTGTTGCGAGCGCTACTCGAGAAGCAAGTTGAGAAACTGGTGGCGAAGTCATTAAAGAAAGTGATAGACTTCGGAGGTAGCATGTCATACCATTCCCTAGCATAATTTCGCAGTGTTAACGGGAATGCTCGACATGCAACGGCCTTGTGCATGCCATGAAGCCAGATCAGATCCTGGGAGACATGCAGGTGGTCGGTCGGGGTTGAGTTACATTTGCATTTTGCAGGGGATGTGTTGCTTGATGATGTTGAGCGGACAGAGGTAGCTACTGTTGGTGGAGGTGGATGTATCGGCAGCAGTGGTGCCTACTTCGGCAAAGTTGTCGGATTTCCCTGTTAGTGCCGCAAACAAAGCAGCCACCTGCTGTTGAAGGGACAAAATGTCCATTTGGTGCATCATTTGCTGCTTCTGTTGCCACGACTCCACCTGCAGTAGCGTTCGATTGACTCACAATCATACTCAGACATGGCTTTTCATTCTTAGGTTGTGAGCCTATGCAGTTCCTATAGACAGTACCACTGATGTTCAGGTAAATTTCGTGTGATGAATTTCTTTAATTCTTCCTCAGAAGAAGAATTGAATCTTTGCTTATTTATCTTGCTTTCTTTATGGAGTGGGAATGATTGTGTATTGGAGTTTTCTCTACAGAGAAGTTGATATAAGTGAGTAATATGAGTCGATTATGGGGGTTTAAGCCTATTTACAGATCTTAACAGGGCCATGCTGGATGCTCCGAGACACGTCACACCAACTTCCCCAAGTCCCTCGATCGGGTTGCTTGAGGATGTCGTCTGCATCCATGTCGACCAAGTACATCAACTCATAGAAAATCATTAAAAATCACATCATTATCAGACTTCAGTTATAATCACCTTACATTAAAAAACATTATGACAACCTTAGCCCCGTTTGGTGCACATTTTGAAAGTAAGAATGCATGTTTACTGTTGATGTGATGGGGAATATGTTGTTGAAAAAGAAAGAAAAGTTATTGATGTGATGGAAAATGTTATTTTATTGAAGAATGTGTTGTTGAAAATGAATAGAATAATGAGAATGAAAAAAATAATGTAAACCAAACAGGCCTTGATACCAAAACAAGATGAACGTTGAAGACTCGTACTATATTTCTCGTAGGTGGACGCCTCCACAGATCCACTGTAATTTCTTTCATTTTTTTCTCGAGAGCCGGTATGCTCAAATTTGCGTGAAAGATTTATATTGTGAAATTTGCTTTTATTTGTAGTAAGTTGCGAAGTAATAGTGCGAGAGAAGGCATCTCTCGAATCTAATGTTGTGGAAACCATTGGGCTTCAAATTGGGTTCAAAGACCAGCGTTTTAAAGTGGTTTTAAGTTGACACACATACCTCCCAGACCCCGTAATGGATGAAATTTTATCGAAAAATTGTACAAACCGTTTCTTTTAACTCATTTTTATGTGAATTGTGATGTAGAATATCCTTACGAATTTGATGCAAGTTCAGTTGAGGCATAGTAAAAAAGGAAAATAAAAACATAAAAGCGAAAAATACAAGTACATAACAAAAGTAGTGAAACAGAAATAATCTGGCTTTCTTCATATGTTGATTGTCATAAATGCAATAAACAATTTCCTCAAACTCGCAGGGCAAAAAAGAATTTATACAAAGTAAAAGAAACATCTACAATTTTATATCCAACTACATAAATTAACCAGCAAAAGGAAGGCAGGTAATCCCAATGCTGCAATCTTATTTCAATATACCATATATAAATATTATAAAGCATCCAGATTTCAGCCTGATGCATAAGTTGGGAGATAACCATGAGCCCTTTCCATCTACATTTCTACTAAAGCAACTGTTCTTGTAACGTATACAACAAATCAGCATAAAAAATGAATTCTAATTCGTCAAAGTTATGCCGAAACACTAGGGCAGACAGGCACACGACCTATGGTTCAATAATGATTTCACCAGACGACAAGCAGAATGCAAAATTACTACTTCACCATAAAGGAGCTTTTACAGCTGCAGCCACCCACAGCACTTGGATTTGCAGATACCTGCACGTACAGAACTTCACTTACTGCTTCTAAATACAAGATGGTATAGGCAACTAAACAGGGGTTGGAATGTACAAAAAAATTTCTCAACATTCAACAGCTCAAACTCAAAGCATATCTGGCTAAGATTAATAATAACTAACTCTTGTTTCCAAACATCTATGGATGGATTACCAACTCTTTGTTACTAAAAAAAGTTTGTAATTTTGAAAGCAACTCTAACCTTCAAAAATAAGTAAATTACTTGTTTCTATTTTTGTTAAAGAGAAAAAAACTATTTATTTCATAACATAATTATTATAAATGTACAAGTAAACTTTTTAAGTACCAATTCACCTCGTCCAGGTTGGTTAAGGATTGTTGTTTCCAGAACCAAGGCTAAGGGTTCAAGGACTGTTACGGCCTACCACTACCACCACCACCCAAAAAATGTAATTTTTTTAAGCTTAGCCAAGTGCCCTGTTTCTTGCGTAATATCAGCTGAGCCATTGCTTATCAGTGCAACCTTGTCAATTATCTAAGAACTATATAGGTAGATGCATCAGGTACACCATCCTCATTTTCCTTATAGATAAAACATATGAAGAACATTTGTACAATTACTACCATCAATGTAGATAACTTGTGAGAGTGGCCCCATAGAACACCTAGAAAAGCACGTTGGCCAGTTTTATACCATCTACTTAAGCCCCATAGACACTAATATCTCAACATGAAGACTAAAACTCATAAATTTCTTCACATGCCATTTTTACCTAGCTGACTGAATATGTCAAGAAAAGGATAAGATTGAGCGAATAGCTCCAAATAAGTAGATTAAAATACAAATACTTCCAATGTTTATCCACCAATTCTTGAGATTATTATATAATCAAACTCATCACAGGAACAATGCACATTATCCAGTCCAAAATATATGCAGATGAGTTGACATTCAATTGAAAAATATTCTTTGAAATGTAGTTAAGAAAAAAAGGGTTTGCTCTCACACCATCACCATATAACCTCACGTTCTTTGCCAGTAGACTAAAAGCATATTAGGGCCTTGTTTGAGCCACATTATTTTTTTCATTCTCATTCTTCTACTCATTTTCAACCACACATCCTTCAATAAAATAATATTTTCCATCACATCAATAACTTTTCCTTCTTTTTCAACCACATATTCCACATCACATCAAACAAAAAAATGCATTCTTGTGAAAATAATGTGGCTCAAACAGGGGCTTGGTGGTATTGAAAAATCTCAAATCTTTACTATTCACTAAATCTAATTCTTGTTGTCATGTGATGAAGATAGTAAACTTTTAGTGAACGTACCTGGAAAGCAGAGCGTATCATCTCTTCTACATAATCAATAGTTGAGCCTTTCACGAAGTCGTATGAAATATTATCAACCACCAATTTAACTCCATCCCGCTCAAAAATCCTGTAAATGCCAGAGAGCAATAGATAATTTTTTTAGGATTCATCACCTAATATAAATCAAAAATTTCTTTTAATATATGAATCTGTTGCAGAGCAACAATAGAACTTCTAACATTCTGAGAGTAGAAATTGTATAGAACCTGTCATCGTCATTGGTCTTATGATCGAGTAAGAAGTTATACTGGAACCCAGAGCATCCACCAGCGTCTATGCTCAAGCGCAATAACTTTCCATTAACCTTACTGGCTTGCAACTCTTTCATTCTCTATAAAACATTAGCGAAGTCATGAACTCCCATTGTTTAATAACTAATATTAACATATGTTTGGCATTACAGGTACGCAATTGTGGACTTCACAAAGATAATCACCACAAAAAATTGCAAACCTTGCCGAATGTGGAGTGTGTGTTTGTGAGCACGCATGAACGCAAAAGAGGGAAATTTAACACAACATTGGACTTGCTCCATCCCTTTTGTTCAGAAGCTAAGAAATATTTGTATCACAGCATCTCTTAGAATCTGACTAAGTAGAACTAATTTCAGTCCTTTTTGACATCCATTTCACTTATAAATACTGATGCGCATACACATTTTTTACTCTTGGTTCAGACAATCACTTCAGTCATGCCTTTCCTTTCAATCAATTCACTCAACACTCAACCCACAGTGGCAGATGTAGAAATCTAAGTCAGTGAGGGCATGATTTAACTAAAAATATAATTTTCGAAAACATTATTTCGATACATTACAATAGTCATTAAGCGCCCATTTGGCCCTCATTATTCCACGTTATAATGAGAGGAATAGTAATTTTTTGGAGAATGTGTGGTTAAAAAAGAAGGAAAAATTTTTGATTTACGTGTAATATTCTTTTATTAGATAATGTGTGGTTGATAAGAAGAAAAAAAAAATGAATTATAATTTAATGGGAAATAATGGAGCAAAACGGGGGCTAAGAGTCAACTTACAAATGTAGAATGCTAAGCCCTTGTTTGGGCCCCATTTTTCGCAAAAAAATGAAATTTGTAATAGTGAATTTTTGGAGAATGCGTGATTAAAAAGCAGAAAAAAGTTTTGGATTTACATGCAAATTATTTTATTAAGAAAATGTGGTTGAAAATGAGTTTGAATAATGGAGCTCAAACAGGAGCCAAATACTATCTGAAGCAATTTGAAAAACTCTAGCAACATCTAAAGCTATTTTGTAAGCTATTTTGTGAAAGTTGCTTTCAACAACTGAGTCTGCTTGGAGTCGAAAGAGTTGAAGAGCAGTATTTAAAAGTTGTCCGAATTCTTTCATCTTTTGAGTAGGTAGAATTCATTTAATTCACCTAAGCCAATTATAATTTCTACATCCAAAAGATCTTTTGCAAATATTTTAATCCACTTGAACAAAACTCGATTTCTGCTCCCATACACCATCTGCAATACATAATAATGATTTAAAAAAAAAAGCAATTTCATTCTCTGTTGGTGAACTAGGTCAAAAAAAACTTCCACAGATCATTACAAATTCCAGTTCTCATTAAACTAGTAAATAGGTGCCACGAGAAGCACAAACTATAATGACCCAGGTCTCGCACCCGAGCGTTAACTCATTCGTATTGTCTGGTTTGGGTGTCACCCTCTCACGGCTTTTCATCTCGTCATCCGAGAGTTGAATCCATGAACTCCCGTATGAGAGGAATTTAAGTTGATCCTAGTAGCAATTGGCAACTTAAGTTCCTCTTATAGGGGTTGTCATGATTTTAAATCATATGGGATGCAATAGAAAGCCATGAGGACGCAAGGTCCAAGACGGGCAGCGCACGTGAGTTAGCGTTTGGGCGTGAGGCCTAGGTCGTTACAAGCCGTTAACTTACATACACTGCCCGCTTTGAACCCCATGCGCATCTTTTTGTAACAAACCGGGTTGTGCCTAAGCATTAACGCATCTAACCTATCTGGTCGAGCCTCACGCCTTCATAGCTTTCTAATGCATACCCCAGTATTCGAACCATTGACATCTAAGTTATGAGAGAATTAAGTTATACCAATTGGACAAATACAATGGCTTCCATAAGCACAACATTGGCTTCTTTTATAAAATTTCCTATGCCCCAATCCCAAACCAAGCAATCTCAAGAAATGAAGAATAAAAAGAGGTCAACGAATCTAAATCATTGCGAGGTTCGGCGTACTTAAGACACCTAGATTCCTGAGAACCCTTCTGCACAAATTGATATTATCCAGATTACATTTACAGATTCAATATATGCAAGCCTTTACACAAAAAAAAGGAAGAAACCGATGCAATAAGTCACTCAGGACTTCTATCAAAACCTTGAGAATATAAACTCATCCCACACTTCTTTCCAATCTCACACCCTGTTTGAGCCGCATTATTGTCAAAATTCATTTTTTCAACAATCATTTTCAACTACACATTCTCCCATAAAATAATTTTACACGCATATCCAAAAATTTTCCTTATTTTTCAACGACACTTTCTCCAACTTTTTAGTATTCCAAAATGCATTTTCTTGGTAAAATGGAGCCCAAACAAGGGCTCAATCTGTGTGGACCACACGTTTCTAACCCTTATTACCAACCTAAATGACATGTAGGCTACTAAATCCTATAGAAACCGCATTTGGAAACCTGCTGAAGAAGCACAGATCAGCAAAAATAATAAGAATTTTCAACCCCAAAAATCCAGCCCTCCGCCACTGTCCACCCGTATAGATTCGTCCAACTTTATAATCCATGACACCGAATATCAACAATAATTAGAAAAATACGTGAAAAAAATTCAACCAATCAAAACTAAAAAGCTAGGAAATACATCGACAAGAAATTAGGTGAAGATAGGGAGAGTACCCGAACGCAATTTTCGGTTAAATGAACGACGTCGAGAGACGGAGACTCTGATGAGGAGGAGGAGGATGGTTGAGGTTCGTAGAGGGCGGAAGACGACGCCGACGCTGAGCTGAGGAGCCGGTAGTTCTGACGAAGCGGAGCTGAGAAGTATGGCGTGAGCCGACGAAATAACGATTGAGACGAAGTCGTCATGGGTTCTCCAAATCCTTCTTCAAAGCATGTAATTGTCTCTGTTTTTTATTGAATCAAAAGAATTGAAAATTGCGATTGTTTAGAAGAAAATTTCAGTTTTGATTTTTCTTCAAACGAATCGAAGAATGGAAAAGAGTGGAAGGTTGTGTGCCAAACACGCGATTCCACATATTCCGCATATCCTATCGACTGTTGGTATAACCCGGAGAAAATAGATCGGAATTGGGTCCATTACTATCCGGATTCCATTGGACTGAACCATAATGCAGACATTGGGCCCAGATTCTATTGGAACAAACCACAATGTAGATAATTTCGGGGGGAAAAATTCATAGGTCATGGATTATCTTTCACAAAATCAAAAATCAGGTCCCAAGACTTAAATTTACAAAACTCGGATTTTTTCATGAATTAATTAATTATATTTTACAATTAATCTATTAAATTAAATATTTAAATGTAATATAATATTTATATAATTGACCAACCCCACCGACCCACTCCACCCCACCTCCACCTCCACTGCTCCGGCGATCGACGACTGTTTTCCGATCGCGCTTAATTTCGACGACTATTTTCCGGTGACCGTTGGCCGTCGCTTAATTTCGGTAACTGCTCCAATTCCAATGTCACATATATCTTATTAAATAGTTAAAAATTTAATTTTTGGTCACAATTTATCAAATTAATTGGTCACAGATTATTTTAAAGTCACAATTGAAAAAAATTTTAGGTCACGGATTTTTAATTGATCACAAATTAAGAAAATCTGTTGGTCACAGATTTTCAAATTTGTTGGTCACAGATTAACAAATTTTAAGGTCACAGTTAAATAGTTAACCACATAGAACTATATAATTGGTCACAGATCGATATAGTTGGTCACATACACCCAAACACTCGTCCCCCAATCCCAAAACACCACCAATACTTGGTCATAGGTCACATACGACCAAATAGTTGGTCACAGACACTTTGTCTCATTCGCCGCCGACCCCAATCCCTAAAACAGCCGCCTGAACAACACCACCGTCGCCGCCTAAACAACACCACCATCGTCACCGCCATAATAATAACAAAAAACAACCATCACATCGCCGCCCGCACCACCACACCAAGAAAAACACCGCCACCGCCATCGACTCCTCCACAACACCACACAACAGTTACCACAACAATAACAAAAACCGACTGCACCACAGTGCCACCACACGGACCGCCACCGCAACCACTGTCAACCACCCGCACATCAAAACTCGACACCCACCACCTCCGCACGCTAGAGCAATCTGAGACCTGCAACAGATTGGACGTTGTCGCCCCCACATCCACAGATCGAAAAATGTAGAGGTGTTGCCGTTTTGGTCCACCCACCCAACCCGCTTGCAGCAGCGTCGACGCTGCTGTATCACACTAGAGTCGACGCTGACGGACCAAGCAGTGACGCTGCTGTCACAGTAGTCGCGACGCTACGCGACGCCGACAACAGCGTCGTGACTGCTGTGATAGGGTGGAGACGGGAAGGAGGGAGGGGAGGAGAGAGTGTGAGAGAGGTCGGGGGCAGGGGAAGAGGCGGCTGGCGGTGGAGGCTGCGGGCGGTGGCTGTGGAGGCGCCGGGTGAGAGAAATGAAATGGATTAGGGTTTGGATAGGGTTTTATAGTTAAAGATTATTCGGTGGGGTAGGTAGTAGGGTGGGTATATAGATTAATTTAATTTAAAACATTATTATTAATAATAATTGTAAAATTAAAACCTGATTTTTGATTAAATAAAGTCAAAACCTGATTTTTAAAATGGCCAAACTTAATACCTGGTTTGGTGTAATTTCCTCAATTTCTGATTTGGGAAAAAATTCACAAGTCAGGCATTAAATTCTCATTTGGTAAAGATTAAAATCCAATTAAAATTGAAAATATAGCCGTTATTGGATCTTATTCGTTTAATAAAAGTCAATAATAACGGCTAGTTTTTCAATTTTAATCCGATTTTAATTTGTACCGAACACGCCCTAAGTATGTTCAATTCAATTTTCAGGTTTTAAATTTCAAAATTCAAAACTCAGGTATTAATTAATTAATTAAATATGTTAGAGTCACAATTATACAATTAATGGTTACAAGTGCGTACTTATAGGTCACAACTTATTTATTGATCACATATTATTTTATGGTCACAATCAAAAATTTTGTTAGGTCATATTTATTTCATCAATCACAAATCAAAAAATTTATAGATCACAATTTATTTGTCGGTCACAAATTTTCAAATTAATTTGTCACATTATTTTCGATCACGAATTATCAAATTTTTAGGTCACGATTAAATAGTTGGCCACAAGTAACCAAATAGTTGGTCACATATTACCAAATAATTGGTCATATACCACCACCACCAACACTGCCGCCGCCACTACGGCCACTTGCAACCACCACCACCACTAACACGACCTAATAGTGCCACAATCACCAACACAGTCCCATCGCCAGCAACATAGACACGGACATAGCCCTAACAACCCACCACTACCGGCCACCAAACACTACCAAAAAATCAAATCCAAATTTATCAATTATCGCCACGACCACGACCACGACCAACATTACACCACCACTGCCTCTTCCAGTTTCCTCTCCACCAAAACCCATATCCCGAACCATAGCCCAAAATTAGATCCAAAACTAGAACACAACCAACATCACCACCACCTCTACATCACCGCCACCATCACCCATCACCACTACCAACTACAAACACCATCAACAAAATCATTGCACAACCTGATCGAACATCAGATTGCATCGACTGTAGTAGCAGCGACATCGACATCATCGCATAAATCCAAAACGAGATCCAATCGACGGCACAGAGGATCCAATCCATCCAAAATCAGATCGCATCAACTGTAATGGCAGCAACATCGGCATCATCGCATAAATCAAAAACGAGATAAATACAAAGTGACATTGATATCATCGCATAAATCCACATGGAGGAGAACCGTCGAATGTCCGGCTCAAGTGTGTATAAGCTGTGACCGCATCCGGATTAATTTGGGTGACGAACCAAGGGGGAAGACCGTCGCTCTTCAAAATTAGTTGGACGAAGTTTGGACACCCAAATCATTAAAAAAAAAAAAGATCTAATCGACTGCAATGCAACGTATCCGACGACGTCATCTCTTCTTTCAACACAGCGCGACGTGAGCAGCGTGTCATAGTACCGCATTGTGATGTATTCTGGTGGCATCGTTTCTTCCGACGATTTTTTTGGACTAGCTAGGCAGAGGTCCTCATAATTGTGGCGTTCTCGAGCAAAGGCACCTGGGGGCAGAGGTCCACACAGTTAGCGCCGCTGCAAGAGAGCGGTGTTGATCCTCTTACAGTGGTGTCGATCTCACATTGGCACCGAAGTAAATAAGTTTATGGATAGAGAGGGGGAATATGTTGGGAAATGGATAAGGTTTGTGAGTGAAATTGGGTTGGGATAGATGGGTGGGTGGGTGTATATATTAATTTAATTTTATAGTATTATTATTAATAATTAATAATTAAATTATCACCTAATTTTTGATTAAATAAACTT